GCCTCGCGTGATTTGCGTCGCATCTGCGACCGTACAGGTGGCTTCTCCAGTTCTCAGCACGGAGGACGGAGGTGATGAAGGTGGACGAGACGAGGATCGAGGGCTCAAGCCGTCGCGCCGTCGCTGTGTCGCGGCTCGCATAGCTGGTGCGAAACTGCCGAACTTGGCTGGTCGCTGTACCGCCGTAGGACTATCAACAAGACAACCACAGGAGCAGCCTTGCAGGAGCAAGTCCTCAGGTACAAACGATTCCTATTTTTTAATTGCTATTTTTCTTTGATAATCTTGCAGATTTTTAATTCGGTTTGTACGCTAATTCAAGTAGGAACTAATGGTTTCTATATTAACAAAGAACTTACAGTACAATTGACTATGGAATGCCATTATAGATGATTTCTTTGCTAGGAAGATGTGCAAAGTGTCTCAAATGAAAAAAAAAAGTTCTCTTGTCCTCTTTTCTAAAAGAGATACTTTTGTGTGTTGTCACAATAAAAAAATTAGGATTATATGAATAGTTATATTATATATAAAAAAATTTGATCCGCGGTGGCTAGGCAGCCCCGGGTTTCCGGCTTAAGAAAATCTTCTTACGCAGATCGATAAAACCTCCGAACCTCTGCCCCACCCTTACACAGCGGCACCTCAGTTTCGTGAGATGAACTGATCACAGACCTGTGCTTTGGATGTGGAGCAGACGAAAGAGTTTTTTCCCCCCTCCGGTCGCTGTGGAGTTATATTATATATACATGTATATTAAAATATGGTCACACTACCTATATTTGCCTGTCTGCCCCCGTTCGGCCACTGGTCGTTCGTCCCCGCCACCTCGCTCGTTCGTCGGCAAGAGCCAAGAGGGACGTGATCGGCCGGTCATCTCAGCGTGAGGTGGCCGGAGATGACGATGTACGTACCGCGCGGTGGACGGCGTTGGCACTTGCCCGCACGTGTAATTTAACTTGATATGCGTCCGGCTCCGGTCCAGGTTGGCCGCGTAGTACGTGCTACCACATCCAAATTAATTCTTGGTGGTTGGTGTTGGACTTTTTAGCACAGATATTGATAATCCTCAACGGCTGGAAACCGTTTTGGGTACGTTACTCGTGATGGAAAGACACACCTCGGCAATTTTCTCAACGTACGTCGTGTTCATATCACGTACGCATATAGAAAAAAAGAGTAATATTGGAGGAATATTGTGGCTTCTCATCACTAGGAAAAAAACCGTAATATAGATAAACGTCCATCCATAGTCCATTGTACTACCCCCTAAAGCACCGCTAAGACGCGTTATAAGCAACTCTCTCTACCTTAATACAAAGACGCGCAAGCCTTTTGCGTGTTGGAGAAAAAAAAACTTTTTACTTAAACTTTGACTAATAATATTTGATTAATTAGCTAGTTAAATAAGAGTAAAATCATTACGTCTATTATGAAAAGCACTTTGGATTTAATTTGTGGATTCATCTATTTGCATAAATATTTGTAGAAAGACGAACAGTTAAATGGATGAAAAAATTAATAGTGTCATATATTTAAGAACGGAGTAGTATATATATTTGAAATGCACTTTCGGAATACTATGTGTTAATGAGAGCATTTTGAGGCGGTGGGAGGAGATTCTGCTGATTGCATCTAGATTTGGTGAGTTTTGAATTTGCCATCTGTTGTTGACTTTGCATGGACTCGAGATGCTTCCATCTGTTCAATGTCAAATGAGATCACAATATATTTCTATCTAGGAAGTTCGTGCACTGCACGTATGTACTTTTGTCGAGCTGGACCTGCCCAAATAAGAAAGCCCGCCATGATTAATTAGTGAAGAAGGTCTCTTGGGTCACCACAGCAATTAAGTGTGGCTCTGGTACGCATCACACGATCCAGGGTGCGGAACCATTTTACTTAAGAATGAGGGATGCTGTTTAATCAACACATTTTCAAATCCTTTCGGGATCTCCTGCTGGACTGGTTGGTGTTGGAATTTTTAGCCCATGTACAATCCTTGACAGCTGGAACCCCGTGATGGAAAGAGTCGCCGCGCCATTTTCTCCACGTAGTGTTCAATGTTCATGTCATGCATGTAGAGAAATACTAGGAGACTACCCCACACTTTGCTGCGAGAATTTAAAAAGTGGTATCTTTTGAATAGCAAACACATTAATCATGTACATATTAAAACTATATAAGGATATTTTTGGGTAAGAGAGATGAAAAACACTATATATAGTATGCACAATAGCAATAATACTATATAGTTGGCAATTTTTATTATTGATATCAGCTGACCTATAGACATTATGTCATAATTGACTTGGAAATAAGAATTTGTGTACGTGCTACATTACAATAATTTTCATATCCATCATGTTCTGAAAAAAGTGCTCACGGTAGGAAGGATCAAATGAAACCTCACTAACAACCATGTACAACCCGACACCGAATGCACCGGCAGTCGGGTGTCGCAAGCTGGGTAACAGGCAAAGAAGTCCCAGTCCACCGAACGGTGGCCGGCGACTCCGTCAAGGCCGTCCTCCGGCGGCTCGCGACCGACTACTCCATCACGGATCTCTGCCCCGGCCGGCATCACCATCGTTTGCACCTTCCAGACCGTCCTCATCCTCCAAGTCGTCGACGCAGGTGCGTAGCGCCGTTTTAGATCGAAACACAAAGCACGCACTGAGGAGATTGACCAGGCTTCTTGTCCTCTCTATCTTTGCTTTCCTTGTTCTTATCATCTGCGATGTGGAGGCCATAGTGGACCACCTGCGAGTGCGTCATGCGGGCATTGGCAAATTGCATATATAATGAATCACGGAAGATAAAAGGCCAAGCCGCACAAGGTCCCTTGGGTTACCGCACTACGGGAGACTCGTGCTTTGCCGAGTGCAATTGCACTCGGCAAAGAAAGCTTTGCACTCGACAAAGCCTTTGCTGAGTGCTGCACTCGGCAAAGAGCTGTCGGCATATCCCTTCACGGCAAAGGCTTGTTTGCCGAGTGCCGCATGTCGGGCACTCGGCAAAGGATTTTCCGAGTGCCACGACGGCACTCGGCAAAATAAAAATACGAAAAAAACCCAAAAATAATAGTAAAAATTTTTTAAAAAAAAAATTCGGGGGAGGCCGCCACCGGCCAGCGCCCACCCGTCTCCATCGAAGTCGCTGCAATTTTTGCGCTAAATTCACGGCTAACGCGGTCGGCGGGATTCGAACTCACAACCTATCCCTCGCGTGTCTACTGCTCTACCACTACACTACACTATCACTTGTGTCTAGATTCCGTTATCTACCACTGCACTACACAATAATTTTCATTTAGGAAGTTTTTCCATACGAGGTCATTTGAGAAATTCGAATTTTAAATTTGAGAGATTCAAACGTAGTTTTGCATGATAAGATTATTTCAAATCAAAAAGTTGTCAACTACATAGTTTCATAACTTTTGAAGATCTACAATTTTCATTTAGGAAGTTTTTCCATCCGAGGTCTTTTCAAAAATTCAAATTTTAAAATTTTCAAATTCAAACGTCATTTTTGCATGACAAGATGATTTCAAATCAAAATATTGCCAACTACAAAATTTCATAACTTCTCAAGATCTACAAAGTTTATTTTGGTCATTTGTTCATCCGACATAGTGGTAGTAACATTGTTCACAAATCTTATATATCTCTCTTCTACTTTCATGAAACTAATATGAGAGATATGAGAGATGTAGATTTTATGAACAACATTATTGTCGCTTTGTCAAATGAAGAAATGACCAAAATAAACTTTGTAGATCTTGAGAAGTTATACAACTTTGTAGTTGAAAAGTTTTTCATTTGAATTCATTTAGGGCCTCAAAAATTTCTTCGAAAAACTGATTTGCCGAGGTCCAAAAAAATACACACGGCAAAATGCCTCTTTGCCGAGTGCCAAAACAAAGACACTCGGCAAAGACGCATTTTGCCGTGTGCCGAAAAATAGCACTCGGCAAAATACATCTTTGCCGAGTGCCAGAAAAAAGGCACTCGGCAAAGACGTATTTTGCCGTGTGCCGAAAAATAGCACTCGGCAAAATACATCTTTGTCGAGTGCCCAAAAAAATGCACTCGGCAAAGACGCATTTTGTCGAGTGTTTTTTTTTACCGAGTGTATTTTATTTGGCACTCGGCAAAGACCGTCTTTGCCGAGTGCCCGATAAAATACACTCGGCAAAGCCTTCGGCACTCGGCAAAGTGCCGGTTTCCGGTAGTGCCGGCAATGTCTCAAATAGCTCGCTATAGCTGGATTTAGCCTCTGGGAAGGCCGAAGGCAAAGCTAATCCACTTTTAGCTCTAAACACACTTTCTGCCGCCAGCTAAATATAGCACCCCATTTAGCCCGCTAAGCATAGGGAGAAACTGAACAGGGCTGTCGAACCAGTTGTGCAAAGTTAATCCGCTTTGAACTCATTTGTTTATAATAGTATTTGTAAGGCTATCACTTGTTAATTGGTATTTGTAATATATATGTGTGGTTTATATTTTATTTTTATATATGGATAGAATCCACTGATGCTTGACATATCTTTTGTTTAGCCGCTAAATGGCTTAGCGCCCTATAGCCTTTTTAGCTTTTAAAAGAGCTAGCCGCTATAGATCATAGCCTGCTATTTAGTTAACATTGGTCACCAGACAGCTGTTGGAGGCGTGCGTAACTGTAGGAGGTAGGAAATGGGGCTCTCAGAGACTTTAGATCTCATGTTTGAATTGAACAAATACAAAGGATAATATATTATTTTGAACAAGCGAACTAGCTAGGCACACGTACGCCACTTCACAAAGACAAATTATTCCACCCAATTAAGAAATAAATCGTAAAACGATAGATAGATAGATGTAGTAGTAACTAGGAGCCTGCCACGTACGGATCGGAGGCGAAATTCCTTGGCACGTACGGATTGACGATACCAGCACTGGACGTTCCAAGAAGTACGGCCTCCATCCATCCACCAATGCAAATGGAGCTCCGAACCCTACCATTCATTTTGCAGCAGCAGGAAGAGGAGGGATGCTCTGCTCATTCCTGAAGAAGTCATGAGGATCCACCTTGCTCTTCACGGCCGCCAGTCTCTTGAAATTAGCTTTGAAATACTTCTCCCCCCAAACCCTAGCCTTGGCGTAGCTGGTGACGTTACCACCCTCCTCCAGCTCGTTCGTCCCCAGGTCCAGGTCCCTGTAGTTCACGTACACAGCTCTTGGGTTCTTGGACACGTATGGCGTCAGATCCTCGTACACTCCCCTGACCCAGCTCATCCGCTTCTCCAGCGCCGCCGTCCCGTTCTCGTACCAGACCGAGTAGAACTGGAGCTGGTAGAGGTAGTTCCGGTGCGGGAACGGCGTTGCCGACGGCGAGATGCTGCCCATCCGGCCGCCGTAGGGGTCGAGCATGAGCAGCGCCGCCTCGGGCTTCTCGAACCAGTTGGACCAGATGCTCTCCCACGCGTGCCCTGGCATGGCCTCCTGCACGTGGTCGGACTTCACCTTGAGGTAGTAGTATGGATTGCTGCTCCTGTTGAGGAGCACCTCCGCCGGCAAGTCGGCCCTGCCGTAGTTGAAGAAGACGGTGGATTTCACCCAGCTCATCTCCTGGCAGTCCCGCTCCGTCATTCCTAGGTCCGGGAAGTGACCTCTCATGGTGTCGACGAGGCTTCCGCACCGGCCGAGGAACAGGGCGACGAAGTTGGCCTGCTGGTTCTGCACGAGCACGCGGAGGTACAGGTCCCTGGGGAGCGCCGGCGCGATCGCTTGCCATTTGGTGATGAGGTCGACGGCGGACTCGTTCCTCAGCCGGCGGATGCTGAACACGGTGACGGTCTCCGTCACGGGCACCAGCCGCACCTTCCAGGAAACGACGACGCCGAAGCTCTCGCCGCCGCCGCCTCGGATGGCCCAGAACAGGTCCTTCCCCATGGTGCTCCTGTTCAGCAGCCTCCCCTCGGCGTCCACCACCACGGCGTCGAGGACGTTGTCGGCGGAGAGGCCGTACTTGCGCGACAGCGCGCCGAACCCACCGCCGCTCAGGTGGCCGCCGACGCCCACGGTGGGGCAGTTGCCGGCGGGGAACCCGAACGTGGAGTTGGCGGCGGCGGCGGCGTAGTAGAGCTCGCCGAGCGTGGCGCCTGACCCGACCCAGGCCTCGGCTCTCGAGGCGTCGACGTGGATCGCGTGGAGCGCAGCGAGGTCGAGCACGGCGAAATGCCGGTGGGGGTCCACAGAGGCGTAGGAGAGGCCCTCGTAGTCGTGGCCGCCGCTGCGCGTGCGGATGTGGACGCTGTGGCGGCGGCCACAGACCACGGTGGTCTGGACATGGGCGGGCTCGGTGGCCGCAACGATCACCAGCGGCCGGCTCATGGTGGTGTCTGGCGTGACGTAGTAGCGGAGGTTCCGGACAGAGGACACAAGGACCGAAGAGAAGTTGTTGTTTGCTGGGGTGTAGATGAGGGAAGGCGGAATGTCCGCGGAGAGGCAGCTGAGGAATCCATCGACATCGCTGCTGGAAGCTGAAGAGGAGGATGTTCTTGCGCTGGAGAGGATGCAAACAATAAGGGTTACGAGAAGGTGCAAGATTATTGTTGGTGTTCTTGCCATGACGATTGACGCGTAAGTACGTGGCAACTGTGTGTGTTGGAGGCTCGGAGCGAAGGAGATGTATTTATAGGCAACAGTCGTGTTGAACTTCATTTGCGGCTCTCTTCTTATGATGATTAGCGCAAGTCACATGATTAAATGGCTGTTTACCTAGAATTTTAATTAAATGATAGGTTACCTGGATGATTAATGAGATTTGACGGGAAATTACTATGGTGATATATTAGCTCAAGTCACATGAACTTATGATGATTAGCGCAAGTCACATGATTAAATGGCTGTTTACCTAGAATTTGAATTAAATGATAGTTTATTACCTGGATGATTAATGAGATTCGACCAGAAATTACTATGATGATTAGCGCAAGTCACATGATTAAATTTGAATTAAATGATACTACCTCCGTTCCATTTTATCCGGCGCACACGCATATCAAGATTCAAACTTTAAAAACTTTGACCAATAATTAGGCTAATAATTTTCAACTATTATAATACAAATTTTATATGAATAGATTTGTAAGGAATTATACTATCCAATAATTATAAGTTTGTAAGTATAAATAATATAATATAAAGCAAATGAATGGTTAAAGTGTAATCTAGGAGACCGTACATTCTAACTTGCGCCAGATAAAATAGAACGGAGGGAGTAGTTTTATTACCTGGATGATTAGTGAGATTTGACAGGAAATTACTGGTAAAAGCATCTCCAGTATGGTCATTATTCCCCGATCCAACTAACATATTGGGGGAGTTGGTGCAATTTGGACCTTTAACCGCTCTCCTTCACCTGACTAAGAAAGTCAATACAGACTTTTACTCGCTCTCCTTAAGTTGCCTAAGAAAGTCTCAAACTAGCTAGTTATTATATTCTGGGGTGGAGGGACTTACCATGACAAAATGAACTCTGAACAATCTCTAGTACACTTGCTTTGAATCAGTTTGGTCTCAAAGTTAACTTTGATAATTAGTTTCTCTTACCTTACATTGCCCTATATATCATTTTATAACCAGGCCTTCGATACGTTACACCAAGAAAATAGAGAAATTCTGGACATTTGCTAAGAAAATTAAAACGTCTAGCCTCAAACAAAGAAACATCTTAGGTCTTGTTTGGATGTGCATGTATTCGTCTCAATCCATATATGTTGAAGTGGATTGGAGTGGAATTAAACTAAGTCCCATTTCATTACACTCCAACACATGTGGATTGAAGTGAATACACATACATCCAAACAAGGCCTAAATGCTTATTTTAAAGTTGTTTGCACAAGAGTACGTAATAAATTTTCTTAAATGCTTCTGTGCAAGTGCCAAATAATTTATACTGTATTGGACAAACAGGTGCAAAACATTACCGGGGTAATGAGTTTATTGGCTATTTGGTAGGAGTAGAAATGTAGAATTGTTGTGAAGTACTCCCTCCGTTCCAAATTATAGGTCATTTTGGTTTTTCCAGCTACATATATAATAATGTTTACTATGCATTTAGATATACGCTATGTTTAGATACATAGAACAACGCACAGTACAAAATGACCTATAATTTGAAATGGAGAAAGTATAAAATTATACTTAGAAATGCAATCAACCACTCTATAGCAATGCTAAAAGCTATTAAGACTGTTGGCCAATGGCCACTAGAAAAAAATATCAAGAAAGTCATATGTCTCGGAGTCGGAGTGTTTTTCTGCATGCATGCAGAGACGTTTACGTGTCAGGCAGTAGTAGCTAGATCGAGTTTGAGTTGGACACTACATCTTACATTGAAACGTGATCTCATGAGCCAATGAGCTATATATACACCCTTTACCCTTCCATGGTTCGGTGCATGACTTTGAATCGGAAACGACTTGTTGGCTCTAAACGTAACGTAATCGAACGTGTGTTATAGTCAATTATGTATGTAATTGCTGCTGCTAGCAACACGAACGATTTCTTTCGGCACACGTACGGAATGAGCTCATGGCGCACACAGAAATTAAAGACCATGTGGACCCATTCCAGGTGCTAGGGTCCCTCCTCACTGTTGTGTTGTAAAACCCTCGCGTTGAACGCCGCCTAGCTAGATATAGTTTCGGTCAAGAATGTGCTGTGCCTATGCTTGTATAAGTTGAAAAAGCTAGCCATCGCAAGGAGTTAATTATTAGAGGATAAGCTTTCTAGTCAAAAGTTGAATATTGTACAGCAGTATACTACGCAAGAAAGATACGCGCGATAGATTGTTCTAGCTTTCAGCATACGGAGGGAGGATAAATGTCAACCTGCCGTTTTGTACGAGAAAAAATAAAGTGTAAAATGTTTGTTGATTCAGACAAGATTTTGTGACTCTAACCACGTACGTGGGTTCATTCCGGCTCCTGGCGTTCCCCATTATATATAAAAAAAAACCCTCATATTGAAAGCCATGTTTTTGTCTCGATTATATATTCTGGCACCATCATGTGCTGTGCTCATACTTTTCCATGCCTTTCTCGAACGTGTGGAGGCCATAGGGATTAAAATAACCCAAGGACAAACAATTAAAACCTACACAAACATGCCTCCTTTGCCGAGTGTCAACTCCCAGACATTTGGCAAAGCTTCCTCCTTTTGCCGTGTGTCAAATTCCAGACACTCGGCAAAGCTGCCTCCTTTGCCGAGTGTCAACTCTGGGACACTCGGCGAACCTGTCTTCTTTGCCGAGTGTCAAATACCTGACACTCGGCAAAGACCGGCCTAAAACGCATAAATGTTGGCTTCTTTGCCGAGTGTCACAGCGTAGACACTCGGCAAAGAAGCCATTTTAGTCCCAGAAAGCACAGATTTCTGCCACGTGTCCTCCTTTGCCGAGTGTACTTTCATGGCACTCGGCAAATAGGGCTTTTGCCGAGTGTAACACTCAGCAAAGCTGCCACATATAATCAGTTTATATGGTTCGGTCATAGCCACGTATTATATTCAAATAAACATCACATCAATCACAGATAGTTCACAATAGGCATCACAGGCAGTTCATATAGATATATCGACAACACATTAATGCAAATAAACTTCAGAATCACTAGTAGGTTCATTCACAACCACAAATAGTCACAAGTAGTCACAGGTAACCCACAAATGCAAATGCAAATAAAATCACAAGTAGTCACTTAGGCCACGAGTTCCATTGCGACAACGCTTGGTCATGAGGCTCATTCGATGCCACCAATTGATGCTGCACAAAGGAGAAGAGATTGCATGTGTGAGCCAAGATTAAACAACACGTATGGTCTCTCTACTGCCTAACTAGTATAACCCTTGCAACTATCAGCAATATCTTCTCAGTTGCATTGTGCTCTAGTATGATTGCTTAAGTACTAGTTGGTAACAAACATATATCATTAGTCACTAAGTTTCTAGTGTCAGGGCATCTTTGTAAGATTAATTCCGCATAAACTAGAAACGGTGATTATAAGGTTGTAAATCGACTCACAGTGCCTGAAATAGTGTTTGGAGCAGGTTGAGGAGGAGGGACTGGCATCGGTGGCGGAGGATGACCGATTGTAGCATAAACACCCCTCATACATTCAAACATCTACAGCTCCATCCTCTGCCGCTCTGCCTCGATCCTCTGCCGCTCTGCCTCCATCTTCGCCTCTAGCTCCTCCCGGTGCCTCGTTTCTTGTTCCAACTGAGCCTACAATATTTCATCCCAATGTTACAATGTAATGCAAAAGTATATAAAAATCAATGAACGATGAATAAAACAGAAATAACCTGGAGTGCGTTCATCTGGAACCGTGTAGAGTCCGGCCGTGGGCGTATCGCCGGACTGGAACCCATGCTCCGTGCTCAAATCTGGGAGAGAGTGAGAGTACTGGTCGTGTTGATTGTGCCGTCGCCAATCCAGAACCGGCCATGCTTCTTGCCTCCTCCCGCCCTCATGACCACTTCTCCCTCAAGGTCAAGGGCGCTCGGACCGTACTCTGGGCCATGGACCACCCTTGCCATCGATGTGTATCCATCGAGGCGGCTGTGGACGGACTCGTTGTTGTACGCTGAGGGTGGGTCCTCCAGGTTGTAGGCGACGTCGGACGTCGCCTTCCCCTTGTGGGCCAAAGCATATGCCATGAACTGGGAGCAAGGCTCACCACCATGTGCCGCCGACTGCAAAAAAAGCAATATGATTAGAAATTATGCAGAGTTGAGCGTTAGAATAAAGAAATGAATTCACGTACCCATCTAGCCGCGTATTCTGAGAGATTGAGGTTGCCTTGATGGTGTGGTGCACCCGGCATCAACAAATGCCGCTCCCGACAAGCGTTGTGATTCTCCTCCCATGTGAGGTCGCACCACCTGTCCACCATCTGGGCCTAGCACTGCAGATCGTAGGCGCACCACCCACTACTAGAAAACAGATCTTTCATCCCACCTCTATTTTTGTCTTTAGTCCCGGTATTTTTATGTTCGGGACTAAAGGGACTATTAGTCCCGGTTGTATCCTCAAACAAGGATACAAAGTTCCTGCCCTAAGTGTGTGGCGACGACAGGCAACAATTAGTCCCGGTTATATCCCAGAGCCGGGACTAAAGGTTATCCTTTAGTCCCGGCTAGACCCTCCAACCGGGAATAAATCTTTACTCCCGGCTTGAGGCTCCAGCCGGGACTAAAGGATGACCTTTAGTCCCGGCTCTAGGCTATAACCGGGATAAAATCTTTCTTGATAAAATATTATAGTCGCGTTGGACAAAAAAATGGGGCAGCCAGGCATTGAACCCACGACCTCATAGCCAAGGTCCAAACCACAGCGCACTAGCTAGCCATGGGAACTAAGTCACTTTATCGACAAGAAAGCACCCAAATATTTATTTAATAAGAGAAAATACCCTTTAATTGATTATATTCTTTTGTTAACTATACTTTGAATTTTCTAGTCCATGTGCTTTCTAGTGCCTGATTGATCTCATAATTTTTATCAGGGTTTCAAATGCCCAGTGTGAAGCCACCACCAAGTTCGAGATTTTTCTGAATTGGTT